GTACCGTAAAAATAGCGTTGCGATGTAAAACCTATGGCGATGCTAATTTTAGCTTGACCAAAGTGCTTGAGTACGTTATTCTAAGACTCCCTTATTGCACAGAGCGCGACACTATATTAGCGCGAACAAGCGATCGCCGTGTTTTTATGCTTATCTCATCGAATCAAAACGCTGTTTTCAAAAATATTAGTGTCTTTAGAAGTGCTCATCTGGGCCACATACCTAAGCGGTATACTTTGGTGCCTACTAAAACCATTTCGAAGTAAAATTAAAAAAAAGAGCCAACGTCGTGTTCGCGGTATCAGTGTCGCGCAGTGTACATAGTCCGTTCCGCGCTTGCACGTTTTGGGAACCATGGGGAGCTTGTTTCGGGAGCGGGTCGAAACAGGACGGGTTCAAACGGAAATGGGTTGTTTCGGGCTACAGCCATCGGGCCGGGTCGGGCGGGGCCTTGAAATTAACAATTCTGTCGGGCTCGGGCCGGGCCCGGGCCGTGTCTCTTTCGGGCCGGGTCGGACAGGGCCTAGAAATTTAAAATTCTGTCGGGCTCGGGCCGGGCCCGGGCCGTGTCTCTACCGGGCCGGGTCGGGCCGGGCCTAGAAATTCCGGCCCGTGCAGTGCTCTACTGCGCCCGCGCTGACTAACAGTCTGTGTCTTTGGTCCCCGACGCGCTAGCCTCGAGCAACGAGCAAGCGATGGGTCGACAACGTTAAGCCTTTCGTCCTGCTGCCGGTGCTCTCATGTGGTTGCTTTGAGACTTCTTTCCTTCTTCCCGTCGTTTTTTCTGTCGACACCGGCAACCAACATCGCGCTGCAAGAATTTTTTTTCCATGCGTGCAGTTTTTTTTCAGTTTTCTCCACTTCTGAATTGCTTCTCTTCGCTCAATTTTGTTCGCAACTTGAGCTTTTGGAATTTCCTTTCATTCCTACTTCTTTTTTGGGGGGAAGAGACAGGCTAGAACACGATTGTTTGCGCGTTTTTAGAAGCCTTGCCGGGGGGAAATTTGGATATAGCCAATATGTTGTTTGTTATAAAACGTACTTTTTACATGAATTTTTATTTAAATTTTCCGTGAGTTCGATATCGACAATAATTCGCTGTACGTGGGTTCGTTTTAAACGGGTTTCACTGTAATCGAGACAATCACTCGCGTTACCCAGTATGTGAGATTGATCCCGCGATTCAGCCTGAAGAATGGAGTATCACTTGTAGATTGACAGCGGCACGACTCTTGGGAATTCCGTCATTCACGTTTCCTCAAGAAGCCCTGATTCCTGAGATGGCCGCGAAACGAGCCGCTAGACTCTTTTGTCACAGTGGTGAGGGGGATGGTGGTGAGGGGGATTAGGGACATGATTGTCCCTAATCCCTGGCACCCTGATGTGAATGGTAGAAAGGCGCGTATCGAGGAGAGAGGGTCTTCTGCAGACTGCCGGGAACCTGGATTCTCTCGGTGGTCCTCGGACCGAGCGGTCGTACTTTGGATCTGTCTCCTGTATAGGTTAATGCCCGCCAGCTCTCGGGAAGGTGTCGAATCGATTCTCCTTTCTGATACCCAGTGTGCTGCGCGCGTATATTTTTGTAATTTGTGTTTGGGGCTCATTAAGCGACTTTCAGACTCGGCACACCTTGTGGTACGTCTGACTCTTCTGTAAAGGCGCGTTCACACCGGCGATGTGCAGCACTCGCGCGATAACGTTCATTGCAAAAGAGACCTTCGCAAAAAAAAAGGAAAAAAAAAAAGCGACGCGTTTTGCGCAGTCGTTAGTTGATCCGACGTTTTGCAATACGATCTGGTCGCGGAGCGACTGAGCCAATTAGCGGCGTTCGGAGCGAGAGTTTTCGAGAAGTAACTTGCTCATCGCGCACGCTAATGTGAGCATCTGATTTTTTTGCAATGTGATCTAGTCGCATCGCGCAAATGCTCCACATGGCCGGCGTGAACGCGCCTTAAGAGCTGCGTTGTGCAGAAAAGGAGCCCGCGGCGGTTGATAGGTCAGTACGCTGCGAGGTTGGAACATGGGCCCCTGTGAGCTCCGGTCTGATAATCCTGAGCTTAGTCTAAATTCACGCACACTGCAATAGGCAATCCCGAGCTACTCTCTCCCTTCCAAGTTCAACCACACACTCTCACCCGCTCAGCAAGAGTGCACAGGGAGGCGCTATCACATACTTTACTAGGATACACTTCACTCTGGGGAAGTACAATAGCGTTGGAGCGGAAGGTTTTGCGTAGTTCAAATGGCTGGACGCACCGTAGCGTTCCACCCCCCCCCCCCCCCCCCCCCTCTCTGAATTGTAAGTGGTGGCGAGCGCCATCTATCGTAGTGGACGTGGCGGCTCAAAGAACTTGACTAGGCGCTCTCTGGTGTCCAGTTGACGCACCACGATCCGTTCGGTGGATGTGTCGCAGCTTGTTTCACAAGCGTGAAATCAACGGATAGGGTAGTACTTTTTTTAACTTAAATTAAAAGAAGCGTGTTTGTACGTGCTCTCTGTGGAAATAAAGTGGTCAAAGCTCATTAGATCTTATCAAAGTTTAAAATATGTGGATACTTAAAGGTCATAGAAGTAATATAACATGTAGATGCCAACGAGATTTAAAGCTTTGATACCGTAATAATTCGGATATATTAGGGAGTTTTAGGAAACCGTTTTTCCGCACCCGATACGGTGCGATGAGCCCTCCAGAACGAACTGCGCATGCGCTATAGCACAGAAGAATCGCACAATGGAGGGCCCATCGTATTTTACCGGACGTGCAAATACATTGCATGCCTTTGGTGAGCTTCTTTGGAGAAACACAAAAGTAATCAAGTAAAGTAACGAAGTAATTAATCGATTACTTTTTACCGCGTGTAATTTGTAACGGTAATCAGTCACATCTTAAGTCAAGAAATTGTAATTGTAATTAATTACTTTTTTTTGAGTAACGGGCACAAGTCTGCACTAGCGCCAGTTGAACCTCTAGCGTATACATTATAATGAAGATATGCTGGTGTCAGTGCGGGGGAATATACCTCACGCGCTGCCTACACGAGCGACACCTGCTTGACGGCCGAAACATCTGGGTATGACGTAACGACTGATCGGAGGTTTTTCATGTTTTCACGTGTTTATTTACATATTCGGGAAAAACAAACGTGATATACTGATTCATGGGATAAAAATACCCTAAAATTCACCTCTAACTTTTATTTTTCAAGAACCTTTTAGCTTTTTTTAGAAGTCTCTCTTGGTTATTTCAGGCCACCGCACCATAATGGTGTAATGAGGCGATGGACAGCTCAAGGGCGCACGCGAGGAACGCAATGGTAGTTTTGGTTTTTGTTTTTCCTAAAGCCGCTAAAAACACAGAACCCAGGGTTTTAAAAATTATATAAGCCGTTTTCTTTTTATTTATCTTGTTGTGCAGCTGCAGATGAGGGTCATGTTGTGTTCCTGTTTCTCTCGGTCAGGGGCGCAAGCGCGACCATGTAATACTTACATTGAACATAACGTGGCGCTGTAGTGTTTGATTATGCACAAGTCAGGCTCGTTTACAAACGTGTATCAACGTCTGTCTACGCGCGATAACAGATAATATGAAAGAACTAACAAATGTTTAAATAATCAACAGAAAAGTGCAGCTCGCGCTTTCAGTGTCTTATCAAATCGACAACAATGATTTTTTGGTGTTATTTTGTTTCTGTTATTTTTCTAACATTTATATCAACCAATCAAAGTCCACCACCTCGGCGCCCGCGAGCAATGAGAAAGAGCGTAATAACGCATAACCGAAACGCGACCGAAAAATATTATACTTTGCCCGCCAGAGGCCTTGCTCAAACTTGAGAGCTACATGCCTATAGAGTAAATCACAACGACTGCGCACAAGCCAAATATTGGCTGACTCGCCTTCTGTTCTATGGGTCCCCTTAATATGAGAAAATAGTTGATCCTATTCCAAAAATTTTGATTATTTCGAAAACTGCGTAATTTCTCTAGTGGTCTACTAGAGAAATTACGCAGTTTTCGAAATAATCAAAATTTTAAACCATCTTCCCGAAACGGAGCAAGAATGTGGGTGAAACTCTTTTGCCATTCCATGTCAACTCGGAAATGTTTTCAGATATTCTAATCCGTGACACAGAACCCTTTAAAAATGACGGAACATGTCGGCTGGTGGCTTGTGGGCGTCCCTTAAAGTAGTTATAAAATACATGACAAACAATTAAACTACTCCATAAGCTTTTTTGATTTATTGCTGCTTCTTGTTAATGGAATGTTTACAGAATATCGAAGGAAGTACAGAAGTCGCTAGAAAAGCGGTAATTGCTGTAGTCGTTTAATGCTTTCGCAAATAAGTGTCGACGACGCTTTTTGGACAACGCCATACAGAACCAACTGCGCTAAGCTTCTTCACCATTGCACTTAACCATCAGCAGAGGTGACTTAAAAGTACTTGTCAAGAGCAAGCCTCTTCTGGACGTTCATTTTAAGAATTGCTATATGAAACCAAAGACTGGAGAGAATCCCCGGCGTTTTTCTGATACCTTTTTCTGGGATCTTGCAGGTATAACCAAAGCGATGCCTCAAACATTATTAACTGTATGTATACCTGCGGCCTGGTAACATTCGAGTTAAGTAGGCTGCAACCAGCGGTGCGTATATATAAAAAACAACAACAAATGCTCCCTCCGTCAATAAAAATAATTTAATTGAAAAGGGTATTAAACACAATCAACGCAAGTCTTAGCAAAAGTGGTACATCTCGTTGGAGTTCTGATGAGAAAAATTGTCATTAGAGATGTCTTCATTTTTATTCGCTCGAATGAATATGCCAATGACGAAAGGTGTAAATGAAAATGGTCACAGACGTACGATCGTTGCACAAGTTACGCCAGGCAGGGCTGAGTCGAAATGTTTGTCTGTGACACCAAGGCCATTTCACAAGCAAAGAAAACGTCATGAACATTGTCCATACGATTGCAGTGGCCGATGATTGAGATGCTCACTTTTAATAATGGTGTTTCTTGTAGACAACTCCGTAGGAAGGTCCCCCAAAGCCACGTCCACCACCATACCCACCGCCGTTTCCATTACCATAGCCCCCTCCGCCATTGCCCCCGCCACCATAACCACCGCCGTTTCCATTACCATAGCCCCCGCCCCCATTGCCTCCGCCTCCATAACCACCACCGTTACCACCGCTACCATAACCACCGCCATTACCACCAAGACCTCCACCCCTGAGGCCTCTGCCGTTTCCTCCAAGGCCACCTCCACCAAGACCTCCGCCTCCCAAACCACCGAGGCCACCACCACTGAGGCCGCCACCACCAAGGCCGCCACCACCAAGGCCGCCACCACCAAGGCCACCACCACCAAGGCCGCCACCACCAAGGCCGCCACCACCAAGGCCGCCACCACCAAAGCCACCAAGACCAAGACCCCCTAGCCCTCCACCCAAACCGATAAGACCACCATTACTGTAGCTGACCACAGGCCTGATATGGTGTGATACGGTCGCAACAGGTTGTCTAATATAGCTAACCACGGGCCTGGTAACATAGTTGATCTTCACAATTGGCTGCTTGACGTAGGTGACGGAAGCTACTGGGGTCGCGACTGGTGCTGCCACTGATGCTACTGGTGTTACGGCGACAGGGGCAGCAACTGCCACAGGAGCAACAGCTACTGGTCTTGCAAGCGCCACGGCTGCGAGACCTCCAAGACCTCCACCTCCGAGACCACCGCCTCCAAGTCCAAGACCTCCCAAACCACCACCTCCCAGACCGAGACCTCCAAGACCACCGCCTCCAAGGCCACCACCAAGGCCGACACCTCCAAGGCCGACACCTCCAAGGCCGGCCCCTCCAAGGCCGGCCCCTCCAAGGCCGGCCCCTCCAAGGCCGACTCCTCCAAGGCCGACTCCTCCAAGTCCTCCGCCTCCAAACCCGCCACCTCCAAGGCCTCCACCCCCAAGGCCGCCACCTCCGTATCCACCTCCTCCTCCGTTGCCAAGTCCTCCGCCGTTGAGTCCTCCGCCACCGTAGCCTCCGCCACCATTGCCGGGTCCTCTGCCACCGTAGCTTCCACCTCCGTTGCCAAGACCTCCCCCGCCGTATCCTCCTCCACCTCCGTTGCCCAGGCCTCTACCGCCATATCCTCCTCCCCCTCCGTTGCCAAGTCCACCGTTGAGTCCACCGCCTCCTAGACCGCCGCCGCCATATCCGCCGCCGCCACCGAGTCCACCGGCAGAAGCTGAGGCCACGAGGGCCAAAAGGACATACACCTGGAAGACCACTAATCGTGAGCACAGCTTATATGACTGTTGGCACGTGTTCACACTGTGTGAACGCGTGCCTCCGTGTTCACACAAGTGTGAACGCCCAGGCACGCGCAACCAAAGCACTGCTGAAGCCAGCGAGCTCGCGCTGAATCTAGTCTCAGATTCTATAGACGCTTTCAGGCAGCTGTGCATGGGTGCCGCCATAACCGAACTTCAGTTTTTGTTTTCTCTTATTTCGTTCGCTTCACTTCAACATTACTACAGCAGGACAGGTTATTGCCACTTTAGGTGCTAGCGCGTCCTTGTCCCCAGCATAGCCCTCTGTGGAGGGTCGTAAACGCCCGGTTCAGTGGCTCGGTATCTTGGTAGAACAAGAGAAGGTCGGCTATGGCGGCTCCATCTGGCGCGTGTTTAAAGCGTCTATACTCCGTTTCACCTTATGCTGTACCGCAGCGAAGGCTAGAAGCGCGAGCTCATAGCGTTGACAGCTGCCCTTGGTGCACGAGAACTTGTGCCGCCGAGATGTGCCCTAGAGCAAGGAGCTTGCGCTTGTAGCCTTTCCTGCGGTACAACACAAGGTGAAACAGAGTATAGTCTTAGCTTAAAGGCCGACGTACAACCTAGGTTTTCTGCAGGGAAGAAAATCCTCTTAGCAATCCCCTCTTCTAAACTGCGAGGGGAGGCAAGTTGGGGCGAAGTACAAAATGGAGAGGATATGGGAAAGGAGGTTGCAGGCGAAAGTGGAAAGCGCGAAGTGTACGTCGGCCTTTAACGTGACCATGACATGATTTTTCAACTTCTTCCTCTTTAGCTTTCCTCCTCAACTCAAAAGCAAAATGAGAAACCACTCGGTCGTGAAGTGCTTGGGCACCGGTACAATGACTCCAAGCTTCCTACGTCATTCTTAAGCACAGCATGAAACTTGTCATTCGGGAGCGATTATAAGTGCCGTCAGGGCACTCATTGGCCACGAACGTGAATTCAAATATTCGTCGACGGATTGATTGTTGACGAGCGCATACGTCCGTGTGACAAAGTGCTCGTGTCCAACGCGGCTCCCTCGATCGGCTGGGAGAACTTCCATTTCCGGTAGAAAGGCATACTTTACGTCACGGCCACGTGATTTCATATGTTGGCGGCCGAGTCTAGTCAAGTCGGAGAGAAAAGCAGACCTGAGTTTTTATCTTTTTTTATGCAAAACTGGAGGCAATAAAACGAAACGGATTCCTGCTCCGGGCTCTATGAATATTGAAAATGAATTGTGGTCTTCATTTGGAAAAAGCTGAAAAATCATTTCATGGTCCCTTTAAGGGTGACCGGAGTATTGTGAACCCCAATATTTCTTTTTGTTTTTTTGTTTTTTCAGCGCGGTGGGGTTACTATTTTGTAGTACCCGATATTAACAGCACGCGATCGCGTGCTGTTAATAAAGGTAATAAGAAAAAAAGGTGATTAGAAATAGTAGGTGACATTTTTTCACGCGCTTCAGGCTAGCGGCAAGCCTTGCGACATACCCGGGACATTCTGTATAGGCAGGGACAAAAATTTGAAACTGAGAAATAAGTTGCATACATTAAGACAACGTTTTACACTAATGAGGCATAACAACCATAACAAGACATTACACAGAAAAGACAAATTTCCGCTTGTGTACTTCCAAGGAGTCCTCAAATTACATGAAAACTGATTTCTGAATCGTTCAAGTGTCTATTATTGTTAACATCGAAATCCTTCTTGGGCTTTGAAATCGAAACTAAATGTTTTTTTTTTTTGTTTTTTCACTTAAATAAATATTTAGTTCCTTCCACAAATGATTTTTCCTAAAGCTCTATGAATAAAGCACCACACACTCCATATCAGGGCAAGTTAAATGACATAGAGACCAAGCTCATCATTATACATATTTCAGGATTAGGCGCCCTCTCATTGTCAATCAATCAACTCCCAAAATCCTCGAATGTAAGACACTGTCGCGAGCTGTAGGTATCCCAACTCTCCGTCGGCGCGAGGAGGCGAATCAAGTGGCACTATTCGTCGCTCCGCCGAATAGGTCCGTGCCAAAGCGAACCATGGACGGGTACTCACACGGGTGCGCATGTCGGGACGCAAGCTGCAACGAAGAAGGCCTACGCTTGTGCTGCTCCGCGCAGCGTGCTCAGTATTTATACGGCGCATGGAGTTTCAAGAGAGGACGACACGAATTTCGCTGCTGGCGAGCGAGAAGGGTGTACTGCATTCATGCGATCCGACCATCTCTACGACACGGCTTCCTCCTCGGTTATCAAAGAGGCTTTCGACTTGGCGTTCTCTCAGGGACCACCTTTTTACGTGCTGCTGGTTTTTCACCTCGCGGCTGACTCTTCTCTAATCCGACGGGGGGTCTCTGGGGGCCTCGATCTTTGCTCGATCTCGAGCCTTCCAGCGTAGACCGGAGAGGCGATGACTTTTGCAAGAGCAGACGTTTCCCGGGAGCATCGTGTAGCCGAATGTCATTCGCATAGGGTCCGAGGGGCCTTGAAGGTTCCGGCCTTTTAAGACTGAAAAGAGTTGTCGAATCTGGGCACCGAAGAGGCATGTTTGTTGCGGGTATCTCGAGGAATATCGAGTTCTAAAATAATTTCTGCTTCATATAGTACGTGGGTATTAAAAATAAAAAGATAAAAACGCAACGAAATACAGAAGTCATCACGCATGGCAACCCACGAAATAGATGATCAAAAAGAAAAAACCTACAAATACGAAGTTCTTGTTTAGATTGCCCCATGAACGGCTAAAAAGTTGGAGTATGTGAAAGAAGAGAACCAAATACAACTTTTATGCTGCAAAATATGAACGACAATAACGCTGCTGATAGAAACAAGCATGCCATGGCATAACTGTACTTGACCTAACATCTGATTACCATTTCTTTTCCTAAAATGTTATGCATCGTTACTGATAGTAGAAAATAATTTGCCCCAAAACAACTCCGGTAGCTGCTATCAAACATAATTGAATTCTAAAGAGTAGCTCTTCATAATCTATTTAAACATGGTTGTTAAATGTGTCCAGTAATTTTTTTTCTGAAAGTTAAAGCAAGCTTCGTGAAAGAATGTCATAAAACACGAACGTTTCAAACCAGACTTCAGACAAACGATTCTATGGCTCTTCAAGTAACTAAAGCCCTGCCGCCTTTTTCTTTTTAATTTTAGGGTGCAACTAGCACGCACAGATTACATTGTTATATTTGTCACTATAGTCTGAAAGCTCTAAGCCGCTAGAATAAGGCTCTGAGGAGTGTGAGAGACGCATTTAGAACTAGTCGGTCGGCGAGAACGGTACCACGAACGAAAAAAAAACAAAAAACATTCGAATCTTGGTAGAAACCAGTGCAGGGAGCAGGACAACAAGGTAAGCGTTCAGTTTGAGTCGGTCCGATAGCAGTGTCTAAGATGGTAACCAGCCAACCGCGGACAGTGCGGAAGAGGAAGCAGACAAGTGCTGGGCAGGAGAACAGCGAAGAGCGTCGGCGTACAAGAACGACGCTTATCGGTGACACTAAACGAAAAGGGTGTCATCACCGAACTCAACGTGGCGAACCGGGACACTTGTTGGTTTGCTTCCGGCGAACGCTTGAGAGTTACGATAAGGGCTCGAGACAAAAATCGTGACGAGATTACTGATTGGATTTTGTCAGACTCGCTCTACCTCTTGTTCGAAGTGTGCTTTCAATTTCAGGGCATGTGCGTAACGATGACTGGTCGTGCAGCTCCTAAGGTTGTCGTAAGGCTTGCTTTAACGGTGTCGCGTACACCAGAGTAGACCAGGTGCCATTTAGGAACTGTTTATTGTAGCCGAAAGCTTTCGACATTCTCGTATTTCCCCGCTTTTTTCCCGGTGAAATTGAAGTACAATAGCCAAACAATCAACCTTTTTCAGAAGAATAGTTACTACCACGTGGAATTCTTCACACTAAGTTGTGTCGGTTCCTAAGCGGTGACATGTATACTTAAATTGCAATTCATGGCATCTGATGTTTTTTTATATCGTGCTAACTTTATTTATTTCTACCCTGACTTAATGATGTCTCTAGATAGATCCAAAAAGCGTATTCGGGTTCAGTCGTACTGGTTATTTTTAATATGGGCATATAATAATATAACAGCACCATGGAATGAATCACACCAGAGCAGAATGGCCCATGAATCAACCGTGTGGTCGTTGCTACTTCACAACTCTAGACCCCCCCCCAAAAAAAAAAAATTGTGCCTCAAAAATTTAGAATCAATTAAACAAGCCTGCCTTTACAATAATATTACAAATTACAGAAAGATCCATTGGTAGATTCTTAGGGAATGCGTTTCCACGACCCTTGCTGAAGAGAGAGAGAAAGAGAAGGCTTGCGAAAGAGTAAATACTCATATGGTTGTGACAGCCAGAGGCCGGACGGTCCTCATTAGTTGGGGGAGAGGGGAAACGCAACACACGTCCCCCTCTGGGAATCGATAACGCTGACCCCTTCACTTTTCTGTTTTGGCTTCCTTTATTCTCTGCTGCCTCTGTTTGCCCTCGTTACGGGGTCAGTGTTAGCGATTCCCAAAAGAGGACGTGCGTGGTGTTTCCCAAGGCTCATGCCAACGCATTCCCTAAAGGGAATGCGTTGGCATGTATCTTACTGTAATTTTTTTCGCCGCCTTTTCTGTACTCCGCCTGTCAGAGTATCCCGACGCCCTTGGATACGGTCATCCATATCACTCGTGGAAAGAACCGCACCCATATCACTCGTGGAGGAAACCGCAGCCATCGTTTTAACAACTCGCACAGACATCACAGCCCACGTACCGCTATTACGGAAACCCAGAGCGAAGAACAACCGGCGACGGCAGAGCGGCAACTGAGCACGCCCACATTCCACCGCACCTCGGCGCGTCCTACTGTCGGGCTCCGCGCCAGTTGTGCGCGTGACTTCGACGAAAACGAAAGGGCTCGTTTTGACGAAAACCCGGCAGTGTCTGTCGGTTTGGCAGTGCCGGGGAGAGAGGAAGAGGTTAATGCGTGCTGACGTCAGCGCTTCGGACCAATGGGAGCTCCGCACACGTCACCATCTTCCCCTTCTTCTCCCTTTCTCCCTGGCACTGACTGACGAAAGACACCGCAAGGTTAACGTCACAACAAGCGTTCTAATCCTAACGCATTAAAACTTTCGTTCAATTTTATGTGTTCGTGTTTACAGAGATCTGCTACTCAGCCGAAGTGCCTGCATTTGATCGCTGCATCCCTGCATTTGAAGCGCCTTTTTCTGGAATTCTTGTTGACGTCATATTCTTCAGCATGGATATGAAGGCACTTGCGATGAAAACGGCGTTCACAGGCGCCACTACGAACGATGTATTGTTGCCACCTGAAGAACTGGGCGGAGTACATTACACACACGTCTTTGCTGCCTGTCATTCCGGCACGGAATGACGGGGGTGGCCAACTTATGCACACTAAGATGATAAATAACCTTGACTTCAAACCTTCAAATTCAAGTGCAAGTGAAACTAGGGCCTAAAGCGACCACCAATAAGCAGTCTTGGGTAGTGACGCGTTACTAGTAACGCGTTACTGTAACTTCGTTACTTTTTTGGTAACTTGTAACTGTAACGAGTTACTTTTTAAAAATGTAACTTGTAACTGTAGTTCTATTACTTTTTTCTGAGGTAACGATAAAAGTAACGACGTTACTTTTGTCGTTACTTTCCAGTGTTTTATGAATAGTATATCACTGAACGAGTGCAATTTAGTCATTCCTTGCACTTTCCAAATCGTGTATTTTGACATTTCGGGTGTCAAGTCGGCCTTGCAGAAAATTGTGAATACGTTCTTTCTCGCGAGTCACGACCCGAATATACCCACCGGTAGATTTTATGAAAAAATATCTAGTTATTGTTGCGCGCGCGCTAATACTTAGTGACTGAACACTTACATCTTAGTGTCTTGAAGCACTATCTATGTTGTTTTTTTTTTGTTTTTTTTTGTTTTTATTTTGTGCAAGCGCGTTTTAATCGGGTGAATCAACCGTGAAACAACAATACACGCGGAGGGCACTGCGCATGTCTCGTACTTTGATTAGCGCCACTACTCCGCACTTCGCATGTTACGTATTTTGATTTGCGCCACTACTCTGGTGTGGAAACTTTCAAACACAAACTTCGAGAAACAAGTGCTGCTAAGTTACAATATGAAATAAAAAGCGTACTTTTTAATTTTATGCAATAAAACGTTGTGAGGGGCGTTTTCAAGTTTCTTCGAGTATTTTTTGTGTCATAGAAAAGTAACTGAAAAGTAACGTCGTTACTTTTTAAAAGTAACTGTAACTGTAACGAGTTACTCCTTTGTTGTGGTAACTGTAACGGTAACTTCGCTACTTTATTCTGAAAGTAACTGTAACTGTAACGAATTACTTTTAAAAGTAACTTACCCAAGACTGCCAATAAGAACACGTGACGGCAAGCAAATGATCGCTTTTCAAGTGCTACAGTTCCTCAGCGTTATAAGTAATAGAGTGTCTCTTGCTAGTAAAAAGAGTTTCTTTAAAAAATAAATAAAAAGCTACGTTCTTTTTTGTTGGAAAATGAATAGCAGATTGTTTTTTTTGTGTTTTTTTTAGTTTGATTGCTTCCTGCGCTGCTAAAACGAGAATTTCGGAAATATATTTTGTCTCTCACTTCTTAGAGCTATTGCTTGCTATTTACAAGCCTGTAATTTTTTATACGCTTAGTTTTTGTTGTGCTTTGACAAGTGTTTAATGATTGATGTTTTTATGTGATTCTACAGTTATTCTTTTGTTTAGTTCTTTTATTGTAAATTGTAAATGGTGCGCCGTTTATTGCGCGCTTTCTTGATGTTCTATTTTTTACATATACTCTTTATGATTTTGTGCGTTTAAATATGTGGAATTTGTGTATTAGAAAGGTGCTTTCGGATTGTTTTGTATATCATGTTTTGGTGTGTGCATAATGCCAAGTTTAGGAACGGTGTTTTGTGGATTCTTTTTTGTGGCTATTTTCTTGCGTATGTGCCGCTGAGGGCTACCCCTCCACCTTTTGCTTTATTATTTTCTCTGACTTCGGTGCCCCGTCATGCCACTAGTCTTGCCTTTTGCAACAAGAACCTTTCTAACGTCTTTCCTCATTGAAAAAACGAAAAAAAACCCACTAAAACTAGAACTTACGGAACACTCTTATTTTTGAATACTTGATGACAGATGACGGCCACCAATGAGTTGACCAAAAGCGAGTGGTCAGGTAGTCCTATTGACTATATGCTTCTTTTTATGAGGCAGACAGGCCCCTCTTTACACTAATGTTTTTTTGTGACGTTTCAATTAAAGATTACGGTACATAACTACACAGAAAATAAAAATACAACACTCCAAAAGAAACCGAATTGATTATTTTAATGATATAAGTGCACATGGTTTTCTATTTTCTTGTGTACTGTAAGAAAACAAACAAAATATTACAGGAATCGACAGTTTATTTAAGGTGTACTATAATACAGAATATAAGGGACGACATATACGTCAACAAAAAGATGGCACGCCGTTTGTACATTGAACATCAAATCCATACCCTCTAGCACGTCAAGAAATCCAGTCCACATCGACGCACTCGGTAACAAATAATTCTGCAAATCTCTTATTTCCAGATCTTGCCTCCGATACCTCCAAGGCCTCCGAGACCGCCGAGGCCAGCACCACCAAGCGCGGCTCCATGACCAAGACCAGATGCCCCAAGGGCCGCACCGTTACCAATGCCAGCGGCACTGAGGGCAGCTGCGTGGCCAATTCCGCCAACGCCGAGGCCGGCGCCATTACCAAGGCCGCCACCCCCATATCCTGCCCCACGGAAACCACCGCCGTTGCCACCGCCATAACCCCCAAGATTGCCACCGCGGAAACCACCGCCGTTGCCACCGCCATAACCACCAAGATTGCCACCGCGGAAACCACCGCCGTTGCCACCGCCATAACCCCCAAGATTGCCACCGCGGAAACCACCGCCGTTGCCACCACCATAACCCCCGAGATTGCCACCGCGGAATCCACCGCCGTTGCCACCACCATAACCCCCAAGGTTGCCACCACGGAAGCCACCACCGTTGCCACCGCCATAACCGCCGTGATTCCCACCGCGAAAACCACCACCGTGGCCACCGCCATAACCCCCAAGGTTTCCACCGCGGTAACCACCGCCACTGCCACCTTGGAAACCACCGTCGATGCCACCTCCATAGGCCTCGAGATTGCCACTGTGGGAACCACCGCCGTTGCTGTCACCGTTTCCACCGCCATGGCCACCGCCATGGCCACCGCCGTTGCCACCGCCAATACCACCGCCGAGGCCACCGAGGCTTCCGCCGCCGAAGTTACCACCAAGGCCTCCGCCGACGTTGCCACCATGCACGCTGACGAACGGCCTAACTTGCTGGGTTACAGTTGCGAAAGGCTGGGCTACGTAGCTGACTACGGGCTTGGCAACAACGCCGTAGTGTACCACAGGCTGCTTGAGAAGGCCCACGGTGGCCACTGGCTGGGCCGTCAGGGCACCCAGAGCGCTGCCAGATTTGATGATACTTCCTCCGAAACCGAGGCTGCCCAGGCCACCAAGGCCACTGAAGCCACCGCCGAGGCCACTGAGACCACCACCCAGACCGCTCAGACCGTAGCCGCCAAAACCTAGTCCACCAAGTCCGCCGAGGCCACCGTAGCTGACACCATAGCCACCCAGGCCCCCAAGGCCTCCAAGGCCGCCGAGACCATGAATAGCACCGGCAGATGCGCACGCCGCAAGAGATGAGAAAACGATGATCTGGAGGACCGAGTGAACAGTTTGATCAGATGCAGTCACAAGAAAACAGAACCCATGCACACTACGGAATAATTAGCTGTGTGTGGAACATGGGCACATGGTTGCAGCCGTTGCTTGACGTTGATTGAGATAACCTTGACGTTAGCTGAGATTACCACTTTAAATTTGGCTGAGGATACACGAGCTCTGAGTTCACTTTACAGGATCAGATCGGTTTTGAGCAAGACTACTGATGAATCTGCAATGTTATCTGCAGAAAAAGGCAAATACTTATTCAAACCAGTCGACATCGTACCGAGCCGCATGTTGCTCTCTAAATAAGAAGCAGAAGCCAACTCTCTAACTCCCAAAGGGTTAAAAAAAAAGTTACACATTTATTTCTAATTATTTTTAAGAAGAAAGTGCAAGTGTTCTTCCTGTTATAGTCTTCTTTTATTTTAGTTGCATCCTAGTAACATGAGAAAACAAATGGCAGACCTTCAAGAAAAACGTTGAATATTTTCAGAGACTCACAACTACATTTTCCACCTCTTTTATATAACAGTGAAATACAAAAAAATTGCGTTTCTAGCTTATATATCTTCTCAAAGGCGGAACTCTAGCTAAGGCGAGCCAAAAGTTAGTCTGAAAAGCACCCCAAGGACAGGGTGCAGTTATGGTTCGAAGTATTTCTTCCACCCGATAAAGGTAAAGCGACGTCTTTAAATAAAAATAAAAAATAAAAAAAGCAATCCTTGATATTTTTTTTTTATTTTTTCTAAAATTCGTTTAGACAAATAGAGTATTTTTATTTGTGCTCAGCTGTACACATCGCGACACTGTTAGCGCGAACACGGCATCGGCGCATTTTCGCATTTTGCTTTTATATAGTATTAGCGAGCACGACATTTTATCGCTTACATTATAGAACTAAACGAGCTCTTTCTGTAGCAATAATAACTCGGATGACATCCCTTGGTTTCAAAGAGAAAAACTGGAAAAACCGGCGATCGCTTGTTCGCGCTAACAGTGTCGCGCTCTGTACACGCGAAAAAATACTTCAGAATGAACCATGCAATCATTACCTGGCTCCAACGCTTAATGTCAATGTGAATCGTTTCTTAACAGTAACACGCCGGGAACAAGAAAGAATGAAGGAATATATCCGCCGTACACACGAATTATATAGTAAAGTTTACGCCCCGTTTTTGACCTGTCCTCTTAACACCCCGAAGATACCTTGTAGCTAAAAAAACCTAATAAAAAAAAAAAAAAAAAAAAAAAACACGCCACCCAAAAACGTTTGCATGAAACAAAAGCAGCGTTACACAAGGAAGCATATGTAACTGCCGGATTTCCGAAGTGGGCAGCTTATCTTTCGCATAGCTACTCTCCATGTTCGACCAAACAATCTTTGAGTTGAAATCGATATTACGTTTGTAATTCCGCTACGGAGCTTCGTGGAAATTAGGCTAAGGAGAGGCAATCTACTCACAAAGGCGTTCATGGCTCGAGTCCTGCAGCGGAGGACCGGTCTTGCAGGAGCGTGCGTACCACGTGGTCCGAACCCAGCAGCAGAGTGAGCCTTTATAGCTCTTCCATCGGCAGGACGGCACCACATTCAAGGTTGCCCAGATCTTCTGCTCCGGGAAATGCCCCGTTCTACCCTCTCCCTTGAGCCCAAGCTGGAACTCACACTCCCGGCGCTTCGGTGCGACAGCGTCGAAAGCAGACTGGCGGTTGCGTAACAAGAGCGAGGGAGAGAGGCTTCTGTTTGCTCTCTTTAGCTCACCGAAGAATACAAATCGTTGAATGATTAAGAAAGACGCTTTAGTTTCACTAGTGTATAGCTGTGGCCGTACAGGGAAAGTCTACCAAGAGGCTAAACCGCTAATTACAGAACACCGAATGTCAGTACCTTCACTAGAGCCAGAACCTTTGCCACGGAAGTTTCTCCAGTCATTTTGCTAGAGCGTCACGCACTGATGTCAGTCTCCTGTTATGTCTACGTATTTGCATTCTATCATAAAATATTTATGTATATTGCCTTACACATCCTTTAAAAGGTGTCTTATTTCTACCTTACTTTTTTTTTTTTTTTTTGTACCCGGTTTTACTTGATGCCATTCTTAAAGAATTCAAGGGCTCGTGTTTTCTTTTTCTTGTTATCCGCAGTCATTCCAGGTGCTCGAGTTTACCAGAGAAGTGCGTTTTTTGGAAGGTCAGACCGGCACTGAAATGCTTTTAACGGCATGGCAAAAAGAGCTTGACTATATCCCCATCTTTCCTATTCGTAGCTATTTAATGGCGTCATGAGTTGCAGTCACATTTGCCTTTAACCGAGCAAAAAGGTCAACTCATCTGGCTCTTGTGTGTTTTGATCACAATATGCCCCACAGCGGCCCACAACAGCTAACGCCAAACCTGATTTGGCATATAATCGGAATTGAAAAATGTGTTGCATCTGTATCTTATTCGGGCAAGTGTACCGGATGAAAACAAAATTAAGGAGCAGGTTCACCACCTTTGAAGTAAATGACGGCCTGTAAAGTAATGATTACCGTTAAAGTGAACTGCACGATCAGAAACTGTAACATAGTAGCGTTCATGACTCAAAACCTGAAGACTAGGGGTAAAATCGTACTTGATAACATTCCCGAGTTTTTGAAGCCTTGCATTTATGATTCAAACTCTTTCGCAAGTTCGAAGTTTAGCTGGCTCTCAGCGTGTTTATCACAAGGAATCTATCAACAACGGTCGAAGGACTCAAACACTTTGAGATGAAAGACCAAGGAGCTAGAAAATCCGTGTATACGGAGGCGGGGATACTGAAGGTTCTAGTAGAAGTCGACACATTAGTGCAAATCTTGCAACAGTTTGAGCAGCAGAAATAGGGTAAGACGAGAGTGTCTCGGCGACAGTCGACAGACAAAAAACAAAATGAAATCCTAACGAGAAGAAAATGGGGCACCGCCATGGCGTCAGTAAACGATAACATGCGCCCTTCGTTAAAAGTAGAAATAAAATACGTTAAAATTGTTGAATGTATAAGCGGTTAGATAGCGGGAAGTTCGACTGTCTTGAAACCACGGTGTCGAATAGTCAATTATTCCGGTTCGGTTCGGGTTCAGCAGCTTTGCTTTTTGTTCCAGTTTTGTTTCAGTTCAGTGATGCCTCTGATATATTGGTTCGACTGCCGGTTTCCCCAAGCGCGAACCGGTTGAAACCGGATCTTAAGTCTATGTTAAACCGCGACCACTTGTACATTCCTTGCGCTAAACAAAAAGAAAAGTTCACAGCCACCGGTTTTTAAAGGGGCGGTACAACGATATTAAGTTGGAATGTTTTTCACTTTACACAAGCTTACTGGTACTAGTTGGACCCAAGTATACTCGCACGCTACACTATTGGCCAAGAAACCGCCTTGCTGCGGTGTAATTTCAAGAGTAAAAACGAGAGTTTTCTTTCAATATCTCCTTCGCAAAACTTGATGGCGTAGTTTGGAGGTCGCAGCGTCCCGCAATGACTATACCTGGGGCCCTAATCTGGACACTTGGCGGAAAAGTCGGCGAGAAATTTGACGGCTATGATTGGCCGGCGTCAAGGTCAAGTGTGGCGTCGGCCAATCGCGGCCGCCAAATTTCTCGCCGTCGTTTTCGCCAAGCGTCCAGCTTAGGGCCCCTGAATGCGGCTCATAGGTTGGGAGTTGCTATTTGCACAGCATCAACCGGGGGGGGGGGGGGGGGGGGGGTCACGTGATTCTCCAGTGACGTCATTTCTCTGCGTCACGCATTTTTGTTGGTGGGGGTCGCGTAACTTTTTTTTCTTCGCGTTTCGTTGGCTATAACGGGGCTAGTCAACGTTACTAAAACACTCATTGGGGAAACTCACCGTTGAAACCTGGGCCGCTGACGTCCATCAAGACCGAGCTAAATACGATAACAGCGCCACCCTTTAGCGACGAGTTGAAACATGAAAGTTGCCTGATATGGCTACTGCTAGAGTCACTGAATGTTTCCAGAGTACCGAAACTTCCAGGTTTGAGGTGCCAAGACGGCGGCTCAATCGTTTTTCTTTACTGTGGTCACCTTGAGCTTTTAGAAAGCTTGTTTTTGCGTAAAAACAAATGACAAAAAAAATGAAAGCCGTTTACAACTCCCTCTAACACCGAATTGAAGCGCAGCTCTTGAGGAGGAGGAGGGAAGGGTACTGAGGGTTACCTGTTCTCGGGGCAGGAGGGGGGGTGGGGGTCATGTGACCTTGGGGGGTCACGTGACCCCCCAGAAAAATTTTTCCGGTAGATTTAGCGGGGAATTTTTTCCGCTAGATTCAGCGGGGAAATTTTTCCGCTAGGTTTAACGGGAAAATTTTTCCGCTAGACTTAGCGGGGAATTTTTGCCGCTAAATCTAGCGGGGAAATATTTAGCGGGGAAATTTTTCCGCTAGATTTAGCGGGTTAATTTTTCCGCTAAATTTAGCGGCGAACTTTTTCCGCTAGATTTAGCGGGAAAATTTTTCCGCTAGATTTAGCGGGGAATTTTTTTCCGCTAAATCTAGCGGGGAAAAGTTTTCCGCTAGATTTAGCGGGAAAAATTTTCCGCTAAATCTTGCGGGGAAATTTTTCCGCTAAATCTAGCGGGGAAATTTTCCCGCTAGATTTAGCGGGGAAATTTTTCCGCTAGATTTAGCGGGGAATATTTTCCGCTAGATTTAGCGGAGAAATTTTTCCGCTAGATTTAGCGGAGAAATTTTTCCGCTAGATCTAGCGGGAAAATTTTTCCCTCTAGATTTTTCCGCTAGATTTAGCGGAGAAATTTTTCCGCTAGGTTTAGCGGGGAAATTTTTTCGCTACATTTAGCGGGGAATTTTTCCCGCTAGATTTAGCGGGGAAATTTTTCCGCTAGATTTAGCGGGGAATTTTTTCCGCTAAATCTAGTGGGGAAAATTTTTCCGCTAGATTTAGCGGAGAAATTTTCCCGCTAAATCTAGCGGGGAAATTTTTCCGCTAGATTTAGCGGGGAAATTTACCCATAATGCACCGCGCGGTTACGCCGACGGCGACGGCGACGGCGACGGCGACGCCGACGGCGACGCCGACGCCGCTCAAGCCGGAAACGGGCCCCTAAGAGCTGCGCTCTAAAAAATCTTTTTGTAGGAACTTTTATTGGAGTTTAGTTCGAAATGACAGGCGCGTGATGTTTTTTTTAAATCTTTAGTTCACAAGTTTTTACGGCACAATTAATAATGCTTTTATACAACCATGTCTCACCGGTGATTTCAGGTAACGCGTCCAGACTTGGGCGCGTCCTAACTTCGGCTATAATTCGCGGAGCGTCCGCTTGGGAGACGTTTTAGCGCCAAAATGGCCGATTCAAGACAAAATGGAATAGTCACAAAGGACGCTATCGAATGCGATACTCCCGTACCAATACAAGGAGCCGTGCGGTTCCCCGAGTGGCCGCTGTGGAAGAAATGGCGGCGTTGCGATCGCCATTAGCGCGGTTCTCGAGTACGGATCGGTGCCCCTTCAGAGCAGGCTCTATGGTAGCTCCCCCAAGTGAGTTGTTCTAGAAACGTTAGGGCTAGTCTAGGCTGGTGTTTCTGGGCCGGCAGCCGAGAAACACTAGCATAGACTAGTGTTTATGGGCTGCCGGCAGAAAAGTCAAGAAAACTAATTTTAAAACTAACAACAAATTTCAAGACACTGACACGGTGAACCGGACGCCTGTTTCACATGAAACATCGGCATGTACGCAGGTGACGGATATTACAACAGGCGAGATTGTCTACGCGTTGACGCCACGAAGCGGCAAAGCTCTTAATTACAGTATTCTTGACCGTGCATGAACCATAGACGTCACGAGCGCGATACGCATTAGGCTTCTCGCTGGCCGCCTTGGAAGCGAGGGGTCGAGAGCTCGCGCTCATGTCATTTCGTGTCCGTACCCCTTGAAGTCCAGACGCGGCCGATGCTGCGAACTGATGGGACCAATCAAGCAGCGTTAAAAGCGCAAGTCACTGGACCTTTTTTGTTTATGATTGGTTAAGCAATGACAAAACACGTACCAAATCATGACGAACATCATGATGCTGCACTTCTGACGCTGTCTCGTTGGTTTCATGAGCTCGTAATGTCGGCCGCGTCTGGACTTCAGGTGCAACGAAGTATATCGATCGTCGACTCTTGGTCGTCTATGGATACTATCAAAAGTCAGCTTTCAGAAGATTATCAAGTGTTACGGAAGAGAAAACACTACCCAAAAAGGGAATGAAGACGGAGTCGGCAGCAAAAATTTACGGGTGCCAGCCGCAAAGACTGCTGCGCCTTCGGACGTCGGGTTACCGCTCTCAAGACTCACGCTCTGCGCATGCGCCTCCTTTTGCGCTTGCAGTCATGTTTTTTGTTGTTTTTTTTCGCTCACTTTCGACGCTAACGAGATAACATGGACTGGCGCGAGGTGCCGCGAAGTATTATCTGTAGCAGGCGAGCTGCGTCACCCATCACGG